CCCCCCTCCCGCCTCGCCCCGCAGCCGCATCGCGCTCCCTGCCGGTCTGCTTGCCCGTCTGCCTGCTGTAATAAGGCTCCATCTGCCGGTCCCTTGCCAGAGGTGGGCTGGGGCGCTCCCGCCAGTGCCTTCCCGCACCTCCCAGATGCCCACCCCGCACCTCAGCTGTTGGTGCTTTAGACCTGCTTCCCGTCCTCCCTTCCTCTTGGCCAAGCTGCCTTTTGTTAACCTTTCCTGCCTGGGGAGGGGCAGGAAGGCAGAGGTGCGGAGGCTCTTGGAGCCAGCAGTGACACTGACCAGCAGGTACTGCCAGCAACCGGGATGGGGGGGGTCCCGGGTGGTCCCTGAGGCTCCAAAGCCCCACGGCACCCACGAAGGGAGCTGAAGCAGGGGAAGAAGCATGGCCAGGCAGGAGGCAAGGTGAGGTTGGACTCCGTTCCCAGCGCCTCATGGTTTGGGCTTGGTACGCAGCCAGCACCCAATGTTTCCTGCCTGTGTCCTGTGCAGGAACAAGGCATCGCCCTGCTGTCACCTGCAACACCTCCAGCACACGTGATCCAGGGTGGACTTCACCTGACAGACGCTGCTCTGTGCACAGTCCCACCACAGGATCCAGCTGCCAGCAGGGAGCACAGCCATCACCGCGGAGACTCGCCAGCAGCCATGGGGACAGAAGACGTGGTCAGGGAGGAGCTGGGCAGCCTCCACGGCATGCCCCTCTACAAGTGCTTCATCGAGGGTTGGCCACAAGTAGAGGCTTTCCAAGCCCGGCCAGATGACTTGCTGATTGCCACCTACCCCAAATCAGGTGAGTGGCCCTAACCCTGGCCCTAGGTTAGGGATCTGGGGTATGGGGTAATACCTTCCTTATAATGCTGTCCCTGTGCTGCAGGCACAACATGGCTAAGTGAGATCCTGGACATGATCTACCAGGACGGTGATGTGGAGAAGTGCCGACGGGATGCAATCTTCAACCGGGTCCCCTTCATGGAAATGAAGGCCCCCAGGGTACCAAGTGGTGAGCCCCCGAGCCCAGCTGCCCCCCTGGGTTGGATGGGGAAAGGGCTGAGCCAGGATGGGGGTGAGGGTTTGGGGGTTCACACTGCTAAACCTTCTGTCCCACAGGCATCGAGCAACTGGAGAAAACCCCATCCCCACGTCTGGTGAAGACCCATCTCCCAGTCCACCTCCTCCCAAAGTCCTTCCAGGAAAAGGGCTGCAAGGTAATGCCACAGGTGTTCCCCAGCTCTCTTCCCCTCTGGGTGGTAGGAAGGGGGCACCATTCTGCATCCCTCAACTATATCCTCGGCTGTCGCCAGGTCATCTACATGGCCCGCAACCCCAAGGATGTTGTCATCTCCTACTACTACTTCTACCAGATGGCCAAGATTCACCCTGACCCTGGCACACTGGCCACGTTCCTGGAAAATTTCATGGCTGGCAAAGGTGGGTTTCCCACCCTTGAAATGCCAGTGGGAAGGGCATGGCCCACCACTCCACTTTTTGGCTAACCCTTTGACCGCATCCAACAGTGGCCTATGGGTCCTGGTATGAGCATGTGCGAGGCTGGTGGGAGAAGAAGCAGGAGAAGCAGCTCCTCTACCTCTTCTATGAGGACATGAAGAAGGTGAGTGTGGGATGGAGGGGAGAGACCCCCAGTTTCCCCCCTCCCTCTCCAGCCTTTTCAGCAGCCTCCTCATGTTGGCTGCCCCACAGGACCCGTGGCGGGAGGTGCAGAAGATTCTGCAGTTCCTGGGCAAGGAGATGGCAGAGGAGACAATGGCAAGGATCCTCCACCACACCTCCTTCCAAGAGATGAAGAAGAACCCTGCTGCCAACTATGAGACCATGCCCACCGCCCTGATGGACCACAGCCTCTCCCCATTCATCCGGAAAGGTGGGTATTGCCCAGAAGTGGAGGGTTTGGGAGGGGGGTCCCTGGGCTGTATTGCAGACCCCATCTGCTGTTGCCAATATTTTGGGGGTGTCAGGATTTTCCCCATTCATTTTCTCACCCCCAGGGATTGCTGGGGACTGGAAGAACCACTTCACTGTGGCCCAGAACGAGCGCTTCGACCAGCACTACCAGAAGCAGATGGCAGGCTCTGACCTCCACTTCCAGATGGAGCTGTGAGGGGCTCACCCACTTCCTGGGGAATCTCTGCTTCTCATTGCTCCCCTGGCACGGAGGGTGGGTCCAGAAGAAGCATCTTCACGACAGTTAGCTTTTTCCCCTGCAATAAACTGGGATAACTGGAGGGTGACCTGTGACCTGTTGTCTGCAGAGAAAGGTGGGGAGGCTAAACCTTCCCAAATCCCAGGGAAGCAGCTTGGGGCACCCCAATGCTCAGCAGTGGGAGAGTGAGTGTGAATGCATGGTGGCTGTTTAGCTGGTGCTGGGTGGGCATCACCAGGGGTGGGTATCCTCCCAAAAACAACTGCTGGCCCCCTGACACCTTGGGCTGCCCCAGCCCCATCCTACCAAGGCATCTGGAGGGACCAAAGATCAGCAAAGAGTGGAAAAACCCCAAAGCACCTCTGAACCTCCTACAGACACAGCTCTCTCTAGTACAGGAGCTTTCATGCCTCCAGGCTGTGGCAAGCATCTTGACAGAGGGATTGTGGCAGGTCTCACCCCAGGCTCCCCGGCCCATCCCAACCTTCTCAGCCTGTGGTTTCCGAGCAAAGGTGAAGTGAAACACCTTCCTGCTGGCACTTGTTGCAGTCCTAGCAGGGTGGTGAACCCACCTGCAACCTCTGACTGAGTTGGACTGAGCCCTTGTTGAGGGATGGTTGGAGTTTGCTTTGGATCTCCAAGTTCCCCAGTGATGGCCCATTTCCAGACCATTCTTGAGTTTCCAAGTTTTGGCAAAGTAGTCTCCTGTGGTTATTTTGTCCCCAGAGCGATGTAATCCAGACCTGACTCCTGAAGAGCAGCGGTGCTGTGAGGGGAGTTCTCCCTCATGAGTAAATCCTTTCTATGCGTTTAAATGCCAATGGAGATAGATGTCTGCGCCTCCCCTGCTCCGGGCTGCGCTGGAGGGTTTGCACAGGCAGCCAGAGCAATGCTGGCT